ACAATTTTACCAGATTCAATTCATAACTCATCCTATTGAGCAACTTAGGCTCGGGTTGCTGCAAAAATTTCCTGTTTCCATACCCTGTATTCAAAAATTCATAATAAATTGTACAAAACTCATATTAGGGTCCATGATATCTCGTTAGAGAGCTCATAATGTCTAATTTCCACACCTAAAATATCAAGGTTAGATTTGAAGCCCAACTTAAACAATATCTGACGTTTTACATGCTGGTCAGAAAAAAAATGCTGATTGCAACTTAAGATTAAATTTAACATAACTAGGTTAATACAACTTCAAGTCAAATGATTCAACATCCTATTTGTAATTCATTCTCTGTATTTTCATGCCATAAAAATATATTTTCATTCCATGTTCAAGACTTAGACGAAAATCACATTTCTATAAGACATATCCTCAAGTACAACTAGATCTAGGGTTTCTAGTTTAGATCTATATCTCTTTCTTCTCTTGGTTGGAGTTCTCCTTTCCTTTTGAGCTCCAAACCTCCTTGATCTCCTTTAAACACTCTCTGGTTAGTTTACACCCAAATAAGGAGGAGAAAATCAACTACAAGACTTAGATCTTAGCACTTACCTTGTTAGCATCTCTAATTTGTAGACTACTCCATTCAAGCTTCTTAGAAGTAATGTCTTTGAGACTTGATGGTGAAATCAATGAGAGTTGGGCTGTTAAGAGGCGTAGCTAAGAGGTAGAAATTAAGTAGGGTTTTTCTAGCTTAAAGGAGTGAGAGTGAGATAGAAAAATGAGTGAGGGAGGTAGGGTTTTCTAATGGCATCTTATTCTTTATATATGGGGGCTTTGGAGGGGTAAATTTGAGACTTGCTTTGTCTCCAGAGGGGCTGGAAAATCAGACCACAAACAAGGAAGGGACGTGGAGGAAGAGAGAAAAGGAAGAGAGGGGGAGTGGGAGAGTAGAGAGAGAAAGGGTTTCTAGCATTTGATTGGTTCTTTGCCCAAGTTTGACTCCTTTTCAAATTGGTTATTCTATTACATTATCTTAAGCATACATGGGTCACTATCACCTAGTACTTTGCATGGTACACATTTATGAGACACTTCCTAATTTAGCCATGCAAATTCTTCAAACAAGTTAGATGCATGCGAGCCTTCTCAAAGCATCTAAATAAATCTCCACCCTTGATCAAACTTAATCAAAATCATCTATAATTTCCACCATCGATCTTGTCATATCTAATATCTACACCATTGGTCAAGCCTAAATACATTATATACCATTGATCAACTTTAGACCTAAGTTAGACCCTTGATTCAAAACCTTGTCTATAATGGTCTATTAATTCAAATATCTTCCTAATCATCTGTACTAATTAAATAAAGTTCAACATAATTTTAAGGTACTTCAATATAAATATTTGACTAGAAATGTCATACATCGTAACGTACTAATCCCCTCTAGAATTTCTCACACTAAGGAACGAATATTGAAAAATTCTATCGAGGTTGACTTCCAATTAAATCATTAAAGAGTCTAATGTAACTCATTCATGAAGTAGACATTATCGTTCAACGAACACATTATCGCCTCATTATATATTTTCATGAAAGTCATGGAAGCAATCGTTGGGTTTAAATATTCATGAAATAATTTTCACAATCATCAAACAATATTTATATAACAGGAATTCTACAATTAACGTCTAAATTTCTGTTAAGTTATAAGTCTTAAAATTGTCATTTATTATGCTTTCTTCATTGGACTCTTGATTTAGATCCTTGATCATTAAGACATTTTAAATCATCAAAATTCATGCTAATTCATAATTTCAAACAGAACTTGATCATAGTTAATCATAATGATGATTATGCTCAATACATATACCATCTCATCAGCCTACTGTGTGAGATCTCACTGATGTAGAAGTTTACATTCCATTATAAAGGTAATAATATACGGTGTCACAAGAAAAATCCTAAGTTAAATTTTACAATTGAAAAAATTCTACTTTAGGATTTTCTCGGGTTTTACAGTTGAACTGAACTAAACTAGTGAAACAAATAGGGGCTAAGTTGGTCAGTTTTACTCAGTTCAAACTAGGAATATTATTCGGACTGCGTGCTTACTAAATATGAATTCAAACAATGATCACCGTTCAAACTAAATTGGACTGAGTAAATTAGTGAAATAAACGGGGCTTTATCTTTTGTTGTCGTATTTTACATTCCAACATCCCAACTAAGGCCACGTTCAGTTGGGCTAAATGGAAAGTAAAGAAATATTGGTCATTGAGAAACCTTTATAAATATCCTTTAAAAGTGCGTGAGTCTTGATTTTTATCTCTTATTATTGATTAATACTTTTTTAGTTAAATAACTATATTAACAAAAGGGTAATAATAAAAAATAGAAGATAAAAATTTAGACGCATACACTTGTAAGGATAAGTTAGTAATTTTCTCTTATAAGTTCATTCATGTACTTAAGCTGAATGGCCTTTCATCCCATCAGAAAAATGAATATCAATTCCTTTGCATCACATCTTTTTTTTTTTCATTGTTAGGATGGACACTTCCAAGTAAAAGGCCCATGTTAAAATAATGTGACGTTTAGTTCATGAGTTCAGAACTATGATTCATGATTTTAATTTTTGAAATTTAAATTTTTTATGAGAGAAAAATATTGTAGTAAACTAAGAACTAAAATCTAGAACCAAGCAAGAACCCTCGAAACAAATGAAGCATAAAAGATTTTTGAAATGAAGATGATGACAAATTTCTGATTGAGGCTCGTATTTAAGGGAACATTTAAAGTAAAAGGTAATATCAAATTTGAATTCTGCAAGCTCTTCAGAGGAAATTAATAGCAGGTTACTTAGTTGTGACCTATTAACTAGACCACATATTAAGTTAAGAATGAAAACTTTGAAAACTCATTTCAAATTGTTCATGAAATGTTAATTAGGCCAAATTCTAGCGGTTTCGGATGGGATGCAGAGAGAAAAACAATTACTGCTGTGGAGCCGGTATGAGAAGAATATCTTAAGCTACTTATAAAAGGTATGAGAAGAATATCTCAAGCTACTTATAAAATTAATTCACTACTGAATTTGCATAATTATAAAAGTTGTTTATATATTAGCTTTTTTCCATAAAATACAGAGTCACAAAGAAACAACACCATTGAAGACCAAATCATTTCCCTAGTATGATGATTTGTGCATGATTTTTGGTAAAGATCATGCCATCGATAGGAATTCTGAGACTCTTGTTCATGTAGTTGAGGAACTTGAAAAAGAAGGTGGTGATGATATTAATATTGATGATGACACTTTTAATAGCATTAATAATATGATGGATGTGGATGAAGCACAATCAATATATTTCTCACAAGCGTTAGCTATTCCTTCATCTCAATCTTAAGGGTCTTCATAAAAAAAAAGAGAGAGAGAATATAAACAATGGAGAGGCTTATGAATCAATTTATGTTTCTAGCAACCTAAAGAATCAGTTTATGTCTTTAGCACATTCTAATTTCAATTCGTTACCATTTCGCTATTGCAACTAAACGCACCCTAAATGAAAGCCCAACAAACCCACACTAATAATGCAAAAGTAAAAATTACACAATATGAACTTTTTTTAATTCGAATTAAAATGTGGCTTAATTTTACAAATATTACTTATATAGCTGATTTTTTGAATCACAATTTTTGGCACCCAAAAATACCATTTTAATTGATTTTCTTGTGTTTTTATTGGTAACTAATTTCCACATTTTTCTCGTAATTGAAATTCCTAAAAATATGATCCAAATAATTCATCTAGATTTTGAATCGCATTTACATTGTTTTCAGATTTCATACTTTGTGTCGTCATTAAAAATATTTATCAAATATTTTATGTAATGATATAATCTTTAATTTGATGAAACATTCTATCATTTACAGTAGTGTTGTTTTTATTTCGTTTAAGCAAATATGTTTTAAATGTTTCTCTAGTATTTATCTAACTATTTTATGTAATGATATAATCTTTAATTTACTGACACGCTCTAACATTTGGAGTAGGGTTGTTTTCTACTTATTTTTATAACTAGATTGTCACTTATTTAATGATATTGTAATTATTTTAATGAAACAGTTGTTTGTATTAGTTTTCAATTGGGGTATTATTTTAACAATATATATATATAATTTTTCAAAATTCCAATAATGAAATTGCATTTACATTAATGAAGTTGTTCTGTTACTTATGATCATTAAGTTAAATGTGCTATCTTTATGTCAATGATTCTTATCGTCTAAGGTGGTTTTTTTTTTATATATATTTTATAAAACTGTTCTTTAGAGGTTTATATTGGTAGAGATATGGGGAAATTAATTATTAAAAAAAAATTAAAACTTAAAAAAATTGCTATTATCAACAGCATGTTTTAAATTAGTCAATTTGGGGTTGTTCTTTTGTCCAAAAAACTCAAGAAATGACAATTCGAGTTTCAACTTTATTTAAGTTCATATTCTTTTAAGTTTCAACTTTATTCAACTTTACTCAATTTTATTCAATTTTACTCAACTTTATTCAAGTTACAACTTCAACTCAAATTATAACTCAAATTCAACTCAAAAACTACACTTAAGTTACACTCTAAAAGAACAACCCTTGTGATTTAATAATATCTCAAATATTGTATAATTATAAGGTCAAATATTGGATTTGGATTTTTTTAAAAGGGTGATATCCCACAAAATGTGGGAAAAAAAGGGGCAAGATCATGATAACGTGAAAAAATAATTATTGTATAATTATAAGGTTAATAAAGTAATTACATAATATTATTTAAATATTATTATATAGTTAAGCATGTACGAAATATTTTTAAACTTAAGCCATATTTCAATTCAACAATAGTAATTTGGCCATTTGTTTGTCTAAATCACCTTAAAATAAAATAATAATAAACAAATTAATAAATAATAAAAAAGAGCCGGAAACTGAGAACGCGCAAACTCCCTTTTCACTTCACATTGACAAAGAAATAAGAAACTCTCGTCTCTCTCAGGCAAATCCTTCTCTCTCCAATGCCACCTCTCACGCTTCACATCGCCCATAGTTGATAAACTTTCCGTCACTTTCCCGGGAAAAAGATTCCGGAAAAGCCCTGGCGCAAGCGCAATGGGCAGAAATTCCTCGCCTTCTCCGGATAACACCTTCGACGCCAATGGCAACGCCGGCGGCGGGAACGATCTAGGTTTCCACTCGATCCGCGACCGCCTGCGCTTCAAGCGGAACCCTAACCCTAGCCACGACCGAGACCGGACCAAGGTGTTCGCGGATCGCGCCCCCGTCCGCGGCCGATCGCACTACAACAGCCGTTTCAATCGCAAAGGCTTTCTGTGGTTCAAAGGAAAGTCCACGCTCTATTTGGTAATCATCTTCGCGGTGTTCCTTTTTGGAATGGCGTCCATGGTGTTGCAGAGCTCGATCATGTCGGTGTTCAAGCAGGGGAGTGAGAGAGGGAGGTTGCTCAGAGAAGGCTTGAAGTTCGGGACCACGCTGAGGTTCGTTCCTGGCAGGATATCGCGGCGATTGGCGGACGCGAATGGCCTCGATCGGTTGCGTAATGAGCCGAGGATTGCTGTTCGGAAGCCGAGGCTTGCTCTTGTAAGCGTTTCTTTTTTCTTTTTATTTTATTTCCATTTCTGTAAGTTTGGATTAGTTTCTGAATTAACGGTAAATTTACTTTCTTTTCTCTTTTTGGAAATTGATTTATTCAATTTATGGAAGTGCATTATTACTAGCTTTTCAACGATTGATTGGGATTTTGGCGATGGGAGTCAATTGAAGCTTGGTTCTTGTAATGATAGTATGTACCGGTGCTCAATCTTAAACGATTGCTCTCTTAAGATTTATAATGTTCTTCCATTTTTCAACTTCTCTACTAGACAAGTAAACGCTTCTTCCATTTTTTCCCCTCAATTTTGTTTTAGAAATGGTTTAATTCATAATTGGTTTAATGATTGATTGAGATTTTGGATGGGAATCAAATTCTTAAGATTTAAAAAGTTCTTCCTTTTCTCAACTTCTCTACTAGAGAAGTAATCGCTTCTTCCATTTTTGCCCGAATTTTGTTTTAGAAATAGCTTAATTCATAATTGGTTTAATGATTGATTTAGATTTTGGATGGGAATCAATTGGAGCTTGTGATAGCTATAGGTATTGTAATGATAGTAAATAGTGGTGTGCAATCTGAACACTTGCTCGCTATTTTTCATTTCCAAAACATTTAGGGCCCATTTGTTTTATATACTCCAACTCAAGAATCAAGAATAAAGGTTTGAGTACACCCTCCAAACGGGCCCTTAAAAAGTTCTTCCCTTTTTCTGACTTCTCGACTAGACAATTACCCGCTTCCTTTTCTTCTTCTTCTTCCTCTTTTTTTATTTTATTTTGTATTTATATATATATATATATAATTTTATTTTAGAAATGATTTAATGCATAATTGGTAGTTTAGCAGTGGCAGTTGGCAGTGCTGTTAAATACGAAAAAGATACGAAAAGATTGGGATATTGTCATGTGAAGTATTGAAGAGCTTTTGCGATATAAGGATGAGGGAGTGATGTTGGTATTTGTGGGGGTGAATAAAGTGCCTGTCCATAGTACTTTTTGTATTTCAATTGCCTGAGATGATACGAACTGATTAGATGACATCAGCTTTGTAAATTCTTGAAGAGAACGCTTTAGGATTTGTGACATGGTTTCAGTGTGGAGGCATCGTGGGGTTGGATTAGAATGGCTCATATTATCTGTGCAGTTTTATTGTCAACTGATTAACCATATTATAGAGGTTCAGAGCATGTGAGATCAAACAATCGGGCCAAAATTGGATTCCTCTCACCTTCATGTCAATGATTCTGGAGATCTAGGCTTAGATTTATTTTTTTCATCACGTACCATTGCCTGCATATAGGGTTCATATTTGAAATTTTCAATGCATTGAAGCGCAAGTGTTTTGCATGTTGAATCTAAACCGTCCCTTGTTGTGAATATCAGGTATTAGGAAATATGAAGAAAAATTCAGAGTCTCTGATGTTAATCACTATTGTGAAGAATATTCAAAAACTTGGTTATGCGCTCAAGGTAAGATCTTCGTTTAAAACTGATTTTCTGTATGTTGTTCTTCATCTCTGTAATTGATAGGTGCAAAGCAAATGTTTCATATTTCATCAGAGAAGGTGCTTTAACAAGTTGACACTTGACACAAATGTTATGATAGGAAGTGCTAACTGAAAATTCATATTTCTTTATTGGACTGAAAATTGACAATTTATTGTATACCTCCTTATTAAAATATTTTGTATTAAAGATTAGATGATTGAGGAGTTATTTTGTTGTCCAGTATGGTGGTTTCAGCTGCTGGATTTGAAAATATTTTCTCACAGTGCCTATTTGACAGATTTTTGCAGTAGAGAATGGCAATGCTCGTACAATGTGGGAGCAACTTGGAGGCCAGATTTCAATTTTAGGTTTCGAGAGTTATGGCCATATGGATTGGTCAATGTACGTTTTCTTCTTTTCATATACTAGCTTTTTTTTTTAATTACTTTTATTAATCTGCATTACTTTCTTGGGTTTGAGAATGCCTAAATTTTGGTCAACAGGACAGTGTCAGTTCTTTGGTTGGCAACTTGGGGCAAGATTATGGTTATAAGTTTACATGGTCAGATAATTGACATTGTGTTACTTTCTTTGCAGTTTTGAAGGTGTTATTGTTGACTCTCTTGGAGCAAAGGAAGCAATTTCAAGGTGGGCTAGTTTGCTAGTCTCTTTTAGAACCAAGGATTTTGACTTGCATAGTTGCATACCCTGACTGGTTGATAGTAGTTGATTATTTTGACATGGATCTATTAGTATTCCATTTTCTTTTGTTAATGTTTTAGGCAAAAGACAGCTCGTAAATAACTTGGCAATCATTCTCAATTGATTTTATATATGAGAGAGAAGGAGTGTGGAAGCGTGGTCAATCGTTCGGCAATTAGTAAGTTTCAGAACTTATCATGACAAAACAGAGATAGATTGAGAAATAGACAGGAGGGAGCTTTTAATAACAAAAGAATTTTGAGTCCTCGTAGTCATAGTATATAAATTATTTCGTTCCAAAAGATTTTTCTTTTAATAGCGCCCAATCCCAAAAATTAGTTACTTAGATGTGATTAGCAATAAGAAAGATAAATGCAATGGCTAAATGCTAATGAGCAATGCCATAAACGATTAAACTTAGATGTGATTAGCAATAAGAAAGATAAATGCAATAGCTAAATGCTAATGAGCAAGGCCATAAACGATTAAACGTCATGTTTATGGAATTCCCTTGGGAGGGTTGGGAGTGGCAGTTCCTGTTTCTTCGGACGCACCAAATTATGTCTTTTCATTCAACAACAAAATGTAAATATGAAAGGGAAATCAGAAATTCTCTTTTTTGGGTATAGCTTATATGTTTCATTATCATTTCCCATTTCTTTGCAAATTATGCGGATAAGAAGGTGGCCAATAAATTGCTCCTTAGTTTGCTTATTGACCTTAGTGATTACCCTGGATTACATAGTTTCCTGTCTTTTTTTAGCATGAAACATTTTAATTGTGAATAAACTTGCGTTGGGTTTAATTTTGTAGTTGTTACTCAACAGAGATATTACTGTCCACTGTCCAGAAACAAGCCCAAGTAGTTTGGATTTTGAAGAAGTTAGGAATTAAGTGATTTTTTTAGCTGAAGATTAAACGATCATTGAGTTTTATGTTTATGCAGCCTCATGCAGGAGCCTTTTTGTACAGTACCATTGATATGGATAGTTCAAGAAGATACCCTTGCAAGCCGTCTTCCAGTGTATGAAGAAATGGGCTGGATGCACCTTATTTCTCACTGGAGAAGTGCTTTTAGCAGAGCTAATGTTATTGTATTTCCAGATTTTAGTCTGCCGGTAGATCTGCTATTCAAAGTTTATATTTCACTTTGTTTCAGCACTTATTCTTATTTTGTTTCTCAAATTTTATTTGCTTCTTGTATCAGATGTTATATAGTGTGCTAGACTCGGGAAACTTCTTTGTCATTCCTGGATCACCAGTAGATGTTTGGGCTGCCGAAAGCTACGTCAAGACCCACTCCAAAACACAGTTGAGGATGGATTATGGATTTGGTAAAGAGGATTTGTTGGTTCTTATAGTCGGAAGCTCAACCTTCTACAATGAGCTAGCATGGGACTATGCTGTGGCAATGCATTCCGTAGGACCTTTGCTAATAAAGTATGCTAGGAGGAAAGATTCAGGAGGGTCCTTTAAATTTGTTTTCTTATGTGGTAATTCCACTGATGGATATAATGATGTCTTAAAGGTAATCCATTGTAAAATATGTGTAAAAGCTTACGCGTTTGCTCTCTCATTATCACATCTTAAGTTTCTTGCTTCAGAAATGCCTTAATTCATCTGTTTGCAAGTGAATGAATGTTTCATGGTCAAAACGTGACTGAAAATTTTGTTTTTGATGCTTATATAATACATGCTAAAAAGTGGGGGATGGATATTCCTCCGAAATTATCACATAGTCTAATCCAGGAAGATAATCTGCTTTGCTTTTTTTTTTAAGTTTATTTTTCACAAGTAATGACTTTTGTGTGATTCTATGTTACTATCATTATTACCTTGCTAATGACCTTTGAAATACTATTATTATTATTATTATTATTATTATTATTATTATTATTATTATTATTATTTATTTGTTTACTTATTTTTTGACTTCACTGGATCTAGACTGTGATATCCGTTGCCTCATTTGTATTTTTACTGGCTGCTTGGTGAGTTAAGCTAAGGGAGGGTTTGGTTGGCAAACTGTTGCATTATAATTTATATGTAGTCTATCTTTCGATTGTTTGTGTATATGCAACTTGGCGTAAATTTCAGAATGATTTTGAGAGTTTACCAAGTCTAAGTTTGTATTTTTAACCAATTTCTTTAATGAGTAAGTTGTCACTGATCGTAGAAAATAAATGGGAAAGAGGCATTAAAGGAAATCTTATGAAAACACTAGACCAAATTTTAGTACGAAGATGATGAAACAGGATCGGGAGATTTTCATTGTTTTCTTGCCATTTCTGATTAATCTTCTGCTCCTTCAACGCATGATTAACGTTATTTGTTTCTTTCCTCAGAGGGTTAATTGATTCTTGACTTTTTATATAGGAAGTTGCTTCACGTCTAGGATTACAGGATGATTCCTTGAGGCATTACGGCTTGAACAGTGACGTGAAAAGCTTGTTATTAATGGCTGACATTTTTCTTTATGACTCCTCCCAAGGTGTACAAGGTTTTCCACCATTACTTATCCAAGCTATGACTTTTGAAATTCCAGTAATAGCACCTGATTTCCCCGTCTTGCAGAAATATGTACGTTTATTTCAGTCCTCTTTTTGGATATAACTAATTTCTACAGCATACTGGATTTTTTTCCCTTTTTTTGTTATGTTACTTTTAAATTTACCGAAGTGCCTTTTGAATGCAGATAGTTGATGGAGTCCATGGAATATTCTTTCCAAAACATAATCCGGACGCTTTACTGAAGGCTTTCTCATTCCTGATTTCAAGTGGAAAACTTTCTAGATCTGCTCAAACAGTTGCCTCGTCTGGAAGACGGCTTGCAAAGAATATCATGGCAACAGAATGTATAATGGGGTATGCAAGACTTCTGGAGAGTGTGCTATATTTTCCTTCTGATGCTTTTCTTCCAGGTCCAATTTCTCAGCTTCATCTGGGGGCTTGGGAATGGAACTTGTTCCAGAAGGAAATAGATTTGATAGGGGATGAAATGTCACACATAGCTGAGGGGAAATCTGCTGCTAAAAGTGTTGTTTATGCCCTTGAAGAAGAGCTCACATATTCTGCTAATTCTCAAAACTTCTCCGAGGATGGAACTGGGAATCTGGAACAAGATATCCCAAAGCAACAAGATTGGGATGTTTTAGGGGAAATTGAAAGCTCTGAAGAATATGAGAGGTTAGAAATGGATGAGGTATGGCATTCTCTTAGTTATGCATTAATGCGTGACTTGCCGAATGTCCCCATTTTCCGGCTTTCTGCCATTTTATATACTTTTAGATGTTATTCCTGAAACAACATCTTAAACTGTCAATTTTTTCCCTTTCACCTGTAGCTTGATGAAAGGATGGAAAAAGTCTCTGGTGTATGGGATGACATATATCGTAATGCTCGAAAATCTGAAAAACTAAAGTTTGAGCCAAATGAAAGGGACGAGGGAGAACTGGAGAGGACAGGCCAGCCGGTATGCATTTATGAGATATACAGTGGAGCTGCAGCCTGGCCATTCTTGCACCATGGTTCTTTATACCGTGGGCTGAGTCTTGTGAGTACTTTTTATCCATGTTTCCAATTTTATACCTACTTATGTAATCTATTTCTCTTCCGTAAGTACCCTCATATTTTAGTGTGAAAATATTTTGGTTGGGACATAGTGTTTTCTGTTGTGACCTAATAGTTAAAGCACTTAAAACAATTTAAGGGTGTTTGTAACCACTCAAGCACCTACAAGCAAATGAAATTACTGGTCAGCCACTCACAAGCCATAATTTCACTATTTCCATATTCCTTCTATTGATTTCAAGTGGATATTTCTAATGTGGTTCGGGTTAATGCATGTTCTTGAAGATTATCGACTAAGAAATGCTAACCACTATCTCACAAGTTCTTATCTAATTTTATGAGAGCTTGTAGTAAATTAAATAAAAACTTAAATATTTTACATTGCAATATTGTAGTTTCTTAATTGAACTTATCTTACATGTATCTGCCAGTCTGCTGGAGCACGGAAGTTGAGATCAGATGATGTAAATGCTGTTGGTCGGCTTCCCATTTTAAATCAAACCTATTACCGGGACATTCTATGTGAAATTGGAGGAATGTTTGCTATTGCAAAAAAGGTGGATAACATTCATGGGAGACCTTGGATTGGATTTCAATCATGGCATGCTGCTGGTAGGAAGGTATTCTTTCACACTGTTCGAAGTTTCTGTTAAATCCAATAAAAATAAAGTAGACCAAATAGCTTGTTGCCTGTGGGATACCAAGTTGGGGCTGTCCAATGTAAATTTTGGTACAAGTTTTTGGTTTTCAAATAAGTTTCCAAATAAGTTTTCGTTTTTGGTTTTTTCATTTTTCTGTCCTTTTTGAGAAAGCAGGTTTCACTGTCCCCGAAAGCTGAAAAGGTTTTGGAAGAAACAATACAAGAGAACACTAAAGGAGACGTAATCTATTTTTGGGCACGTCTAAACATGGACGGAGGTGTGACAGGAAGCAAAAATGCACTTACCTTTTGGTCTATGTGTGACATCTTAAATGGAGGATACTGCAGGTACGTAATACATCACATTTGGTATTAGTTATTCTGCCCATATGCGTACAACAAGGGTAAATGACTCGATTGCTGCTACATCTATGTTTGTGCTTACAAAAGTATGGGGTATCTTTACTTCTCTTACGAGTAAAGTAAATGAATATAGACAAGCTTTGGAATGCCGTTATGGCTATTAATTTAGTTACTGCACCTCGGAAGGGTTTCACTTTCAGTTGTCATTGTTTTCATGCTGTCACAAAAGTGTGATAGCTAGACTAGTGAACCATGTAATATGCTCCAGCAATTCATTCAATTGCTCTGAATGATAATATACTTGCTTAAAAATGCGTGCAGAACTGCTTTTGAAGATGCATTCCGTAGAATATATGGCTTGCCATCACATATAGAAGCTCTGCCCCCCATGCCTGAAGATGGTGGTCACTGGTCTGCATTGCATAGTTGGGTTATGCCGACCCCTTCATTCCTGGAGTTTGTTATGTTTGCCCGGTATTTTTCAGAGGCTTGAGATCTTCTATGTTTCAACTTACAGAATTTGCTGTTTTATTAGTAATAGTTACTCCATTCAAAGGCACTTGCTGAATGTTGACAAGACCACCAACTGAGGTTTCGTAATTGAACTGCAGGATGTTTGCTGATTCTCTTGATGCCTTGCACGCCAATGTTAGTAAAGAAAATACGTGTTTGTTAGGTTCTTCGGACATTGAGGTGAGTCTTGCAGATTCTTATATTTGTGTTATCGGGTTCAAGTGGTAGTTTAACATTTATATATTCTTAATTCATGAGCAGAAAAAACATTGCTACTGTCGGATGTTAGAAGTCCTTGTCAATGTCTGGGCTTATCATAGTGCACGTAAAATGGTTTACATCGATCCACACGCTGGTTCATTGGAAGAGCAACACCCAGTTGAGCAACGCAAAGAATTTATGTGGGCAAAATACTTCAATCAAACCTTGTTAAAAAGAATTGATGAAAATTTGGCAGAGGCTGCAGATGATGGTGACCATCCAAGTGAGATGTGGTTATGGCCATTAACCGGCGAAGTACATTGGCAAGGTATATATGAAAGGGAGAGGGAACAAAGATATAGGCTAAAGATGGACAAGAAAAGGAAGACAAGAGAAAAGTTGTTCGAAAGGATGAAATATGGTTACAAGCAGAAGTCGCTTGGAGGATAGCGAGCTTGTAGTATCCAAAATGGTTGAATTCTATCTCACAAAGACTTGACTTAACATGGCTACGGAGACACTAATTTCTCAACACAGGAATTTGGAAGCGACCTGAGGATTGAGAACACGGTCAATTCTTTCTAACAACATCAATATATTCGACTATACAGTTTTTATTCCTTTTTTTTTTTTACTGGATATATACACGTAATGAGGTCAAGGGGAGAGAAAAGAAGCTTCCCAGCAATGGTGACTCTCCAGCATCTGTACCTTGTCATCCCAACTCCCAAGCGGATAAGAGTATACAAAAGGGTTCTTGAGGATTAAACCGACACTTGTTGAGATTCTTTTTTTCCCTATTCAGAACAATCAGCTTAGTGAGTAGAGTATTTATTCTTTATTACTTTGTATATTCTTTGGGAAAGAACAATTTTGATTAGAATAAAGCTATTTATGCTTGATTATAAGGAGAAAGAGTGAAAAAAAAGAAGCGGATTTAGCTTGAGCATTTTCGGCTGTTCATTTTGAATGCTTTTTACCCAACAAAGAAGTCAGTGTGTGAAGTTTTGAAAACTTGAAGTGACTTAGATCAGAGGTTACTGGAGCCTGCAACCATTCAATCTTGTCAACATAGCGCAGCACATGCACCTATTTCCGAAGGCATTTCGAGAATAAAATAGAACCCACCATTTTTTCCCCGTCCAATCTCACAGCTCACTCACTATCTTTGCACCTGCAAAACCTCGAAATAAAAAAAAAAAAAAAAAAAAAACCGACCATTTTCAAAAGAGAGTAAAAGGACTTGTTTCTTTCTTTCTGTGTTGTTTGAAGTATTGCAACTGCAAAAATGGTAGTACATTGTTTAAGATTGGGGGAATAAAATGATGGGATTAATTTTATTCTTGAAAAGGCTCTTATAAGAGTAGAAATGTGCTGGGCAGCTGATCAGTGACCACTTTAACAGAGAAATTAAAGAGTGGAACTCAAGTGCTACAAAAAGCACAACATTGTGGATTTAAATGCTAAAATAAAATGAAGACCTAACTACAACACATGATCATTGGAGAGCAATGACACAAATAAGCCTAGGAAGTTGCCATTGGATTCGCTCCACCGTGGAGATCTGCAACATTTGCTTGGTTGAAGATCCAGGGGAGATCTCTCTCACCAGTCGAGGCCATGGCCACAAATTTTAGGTTTGGGACTGTTGAGGAAGGGGACAGCCGTCGAAAATCTACTGTCAAAGTTTTTTTTCCCTTCATTTACATTTTTTTTTTTGATTTGGAATGTGACTTTTATGATTTTTTTTTGTACTTTTCAAGTGTTTTGGCGTCGGGGACAGCCTTAGTGCTCAGTATTGGCAGTGATAGGTCAATTTTACGGTGGATGCTCAGGTGGATACCCATGGTTATATGATCGGTAACTTGGAATCAGACCCCTTGCCATGCTTTATTTTCGGTGACCACTAGCATGTGAGACTCCCATTGGTCACTCTCTTTGATGATGATGATGGTAGCTGAGAGCCGCATTCATGGTGGCCCGGAAGATGTCTATGTAGCACTTGATCTAGAGGGTGACACTAGCATTGAAGAGGTTCATTATTGCCATGGCATCCTTTGCTCAATTCGATATGATGGAGACATGCTTCTTCTTTTGAGGCATGGTGACTGTAACGCGTCGGCCTCTTTCATCATGTCAGGCTAGAAATAGCACTTTCTTTGAATCCTTCGGTAGAGACTCGTGTGAGAGTTTATCCTGCAAGTCTCCTCATGGACTTGTTGAAGTAGTTGCCGAGATTCTTTGTCTCTGACACATCTCGCAAAGACTCCTCCAGGGAGTCTCCTGTAGAGATCACCGGAGAGGATAGCATAATCACAAAGTAACTTTATGCCTTTTCACTTCTCGGGCGAGAGTAGTGTTTCACGGATGGAGGTTCTCCAGTCATCTTGCTATTCTTCGTTTTCCTCCTGAGCATTGCTGAAGGGATCCCAGATGGATTGATTCTTTTTGATAACAAGGACATTAGCAGTCTCTCTGGACAAGCGAACTTGAGACCGAAGGGTGGCTAAGGCATCCGCGTAGGGATTGGTAGAGCTTGGTGTGTGTTTGATGATCCCTTTCTCAAATTGCTTGACGAGTTGCTGCACGAGAGTCTGATATGGAGCAAGAGAAGCCTCTTTGACGGAGAATTCTCATCTGCACCACTTGATTTCCAAGTTGGAGTCTCCCATGATCTTGATCATGCGAATCTCCATGCTCCAGGCTGTAGCAATTAGCCCCGTGACAATATTGGTGCATGGGAATGTAAGTTGATGGGAGATGGTCGTGGCCTCCCCATCCGGGCAGATGAGCACAGTGCATGTTCCTGCAGAAGTGTTGGTGGCAAACCCGTAGAAATAGAGAGTCCAAAAGTCTTCAATTTCCTGGGCGGAGTAGACTATTTCATGAGACTCTTCAGAGAGTTCTGGAGTGAGAGTTGCACTTGACTGATTCACGTTGGAGGGTTTTTCTGAAGGTGCTCCGAGAAGCCCCGAAGTGTCTGATGTTGCTTATTTGGAGATAGCCTCCGGAGACCTTGCAGTGTCCTCCTGACCAAGCGATGTTCCTCCATTGTTGTTGAACTGCGTCATCAAGTCGATGACGACTTGGCTTTTGATCGCCTTTGGCATAATGCATGTGATGTCAAACTCCGAAAGCTGAAGTAACCGATGAGCCAAGTGGCCCGACAAAGTAGGTTTAGTGAGAAGATAACGAAGAGGGTTAGCTTTTACTATAAGATGAGGTCGTGGGCTAGGAAATAGTGATGGAGCCGCTGAGAGGCATAGATAAGCGCAAGAAACTCATTCTCCGTAGAGGGGTACCATAGCTCCGGACAATTAAGCTGTCAACTCACATAGTAGATGGGATGCTCTTTTTCCTCGGAACCCTCTTGGGCCAGGAGAGCTCCAACATTGGATTCTGTTGTAGCGATGTAGATGAGCAAAGGCTTTTCGGGCTCCAGAGCCTTCATGGTCGCCCGTATTTGCTCGAATGTCTCTTGATGGTGCTACGTCCATTTGAATTTAACCCTTTTCTTGAGAAGAACATTGAAGGAGGAAGAAAAATTAGCCATTCTGAGAATAAATCTCCGAATGTAGGATAGATTTCCGCGCAAGCCTTTGAGTTCTTTCGGAGTCCTTGGAGGAGATGATGCTGCAATCTTTTGGGCTTTGGAGGTATCAACACTTATTCCCTTTTGATGGACGACAAATGCCAGAAACTTCTCGGAGGAAACCCTGAATGCACACTTCTTCATATTCATCTTGCGATTGTACTGGCGGTAATGACAGAAGACCTTGGTCAAAGCAGTCTAATGGTCATTCCAGGAGTGGGATCTGACGACCAAGTCATCGACTTTTTTGCCCATCATGTCGTGGAAGATCGCAATCATTGCCCTTTGATATGTTGCTCCGACATTCTTGAGAATGAAGTTTTGAGTATATAGCTTTGCTAGTAAATATGGTGCTGATGGAGAAAAGAGTGGTATGGAGGAGTCTGAGACAGGTTGTTCCGAGAGCATGGAGATCGTTTGGAGCACTCCCTCCGGTGGTGGATGAGAGTGACTCCGAGGTTGGAGGCTTGAGCACGAAAATAACTATCAAAACACTCTCAGGTGGTATTGGAAGAGGATTGAAAAGTGTTCTCGAGGAGTTTATAAGGAGGTCAACACTTAGAAACTATGGAGTTCCTTAAGAATTTGAAGAAGACTTCAAGTCTTTGTAGCAAAAGACTTGAAGAAAGCATTCATAGAGAGTTTGGAGTGAATTCTCAAGAGTTTCGGTACTCAAGAGAGTGATAGTGAGATATGATGTGTTGATCTAGTTGTTGGTGGTGTTGAAATGAAGAAGGTGAAGGGGTATTTATAGGAGTAAATAGGAGTGCTTGACAACTGCTCTGACGGAGGTCTAAACACTCATTTCTGTTTGGAGGAATGCTATTAGAGGCTTTTCTTAGTTTGACAAAAAGATGGTTTGGAAATGGAATGGAAGGTTTTGGAATGAGGAAAATGGTGACGGGCTATCAAAGCATTCCCATTCGGAGGAAAGGTGTCATATTGCTTTCCAGTTTTGACAAAGAAACTCACCGAAAATGGGATGTTGAGTTTCTGGAAATTTGCTCCGGCGGCATTCTAATGAAGTGAGGCATAAGTCATTTTGTTTGGAGCAAAATCCTAGTTACCTTATCGGATGAGCCAAAATAACACCTTAAAAGTGGAAATACTTTGAGGCCAAATTTTGAATTTTGGGCTGACACGAAGTGACTTCAGACCTAAAATCTCTAAGAGTGTTTGTCCGAAAACTTTCATCTTTAGGGGCCTGATCGCGCGTCAGACCTTCATCGGAGGTTGTTTGTATGAGAATAACCAAGTAGCCATCGTACTTGCTCTGACAATAGATTGCTCCAACATCAGGTTGCTCTGAATGTGCACGAGTGCTCCAAATGGACAACCTAATACGAAAAAAAGCTGGGAAAGCATGCCTGACACGGGGAATGCTTCAAGAGGCATGTCTGGTTGTGAGAAAAGCATCCGAAGGAGGCAAAACTAATCGATTTCTCAGACCGTTGAGTTGGAGAAAATTTTTGAAGGACCAGGCTTGGGTTTTGGGCCTTTCAATGGCTGAAGTAAAGGATTTTGGGCCTTCAAAGATAAGGAGAAGGCTTTCTTGTCACTCATTCATGCTTAATTATACTAATTCTAAAAAACCCTAAGCGAGTTTCAAATTTGGTCAAATTAAGGATAAATGGGCTTATGTGATCACTTATGGCCCATCAAACCACAACCCACAGGAGTTTCCTGAGCGTGGCTTGGGTCCACGAAACGAGCCCAATTACGTTGCAGAACTCAAATGATTAGGCTTGGACCCTTAATGGACCTAGTACGAATTTAGGTATCAACATCACTCGAACTAACGAAACAAACAAGGTCTATATCTTAAAATTTGAGAATCACAACAAGACAAATCATATAGTTGGAGGGCCAAAATTAAAAATAACTAAAAATCAAAATCATAAAAAAAGAAAAAAGAAAAGAAAAAGGTCATAACTCCCTAAATATAAAATCGAAAGAAAAAGTGGACTCCACAATAATGTGTATATCTAAGAAATTTATAGTTTTGTTTGCTAAGAGAGAAAGAAAGAGAATGAAAAAAAAAAAAAAAAAAAAAAAAAAAAAAAAAAAAAAAAAAAAATGAGGAAAAAAAAATTTAATATGAAAAAAAAAAAAAAAAAAAAAAAAAAAAAAAAAAAAAAAAAAAAAAAACACATAAAACAAAAAAAATATGAAGGAAAAGAATGGAGTTGATTTCCTTTTATATTGTTTGGTATGATCAGAGGACAAAAAAATAGGTCATAAGCAAAGGGAATGTTTATTTCATATATTCAAACTCAAACCCATGATTCTGTTACAGTATAAAACTCTCACAAAAAATTTAAATTTCAAATGTCAGAATCAGAATCAATAGTTGACTATATAACTATTTTATTAATTATTTAATATTAATTTATATTTAAAATAAGAACAAAAAGGTTATTTTAGTCATTAATGGTAGACTTGAGTTTTTCTCCCAATATTAGAGAGATAAAAATTAGTGGGGCCTACTATATTCGTCTTATTTTCCTTTTTTTTTTTCTCTTCCTTCTTACTAATCAACATACTCTACCATTTTCTATCCAATAATCCCTCCACCCACTTCCTTCCTTCCTTCCTCTCTTCTATCATACTAAGCACAACCTACTCTACCACTTTCTATCCAATAATTATGGCTGACAATTTGGATAACAATACGACGACACGACTCAAAATTTGTACAATGTTAGCAAGTTTAGGTTTATCATAAATATATTTAAGTCAAAATCAGGTCGAGCTCGTGAAATACGATTAAATAGTGTGTCATTTTCAGGTTAACCCGTCAACTCACAATTGACTCATCGTAACCCGTGTATTAAACGTGTCATATTTAGGTAATACGAATACACAATACAATTACAACCTATTTGTTACCTATATTTGAAAAAAAGTTTGAGAGGTTGACAAGACTTTATTATCACTCATGTTATAAACGGGTTACTAGAAGCAGGTTAACACGACACTATCATGACCTGTTTAATAAATGGGTTAATCGTGTCCTGTCGTGTCGTGTCAACTTTTAAATTTTATATTTTGACACGAGTAATAAATATATCATATTCGTGTCAAATGAAGAGGTCAATACGATATGAATATGACACAACAATCCGGATTGGCAGCACTACCGATATCCCTCCACTCACTTCCTTCTTTTCTCTCTACTATCATACCAAGCGTAGTGTAAATTGAAAAATATTTATGGTCTATTTAATTCGTTAATTCGAGTTAAAACATGATTTTATGTAAAATTTAGTTAAAATTTTTTTACTGTAATAAAATTTAAATTTTAAACACAAATCAGTAAAATAAATGGGATCTTAAAAGACACAGCTAGTGTTAAACATCGCCAGTAGACTCCATTCATAAATCTCAAGTAGCGGAACTCGCTTTCAATTACGGGGCGGATCTAGGGTGACACCCAAAGGAAAAGGACAACTGCGAAGTACATACTACGACATTTGAAACAGAAAACCTCCTTGTTTTTCACTCTCAAGAGAACAAGAAGGTCTTCGCCGTCCGGGGAGGGTTTTGCTATCATGAGCCACTTATCCTTCACCCACAGGGCCATACTATCCGCCTCCCCTATCCTGCGGCGCCCTTCCTCTCCGTCTCCGGCGGCTCCTCTCCTCCCGCCTAGGCCGCCGTCCTACGCCTCCGTTAGCTTCCGGATCCTCAATCCTCCGCCGGATTCTCGCCGGCGCTCCTCCTTCGCCCCTTCCGGCCTCCCCGTATCCGCCACCGGTGACCTCGCTCGCGATGCCGGAGCCGCCGCCGCCGTCCTCGCCGGCGCTTACGGCCTCGTCTTCAGCTTCGATAGTCTCACTCAACGAAATCTCATCCAACAGGTCTCTCTCTCTAATTGTTCTCACTGAAATCAGATCTTGCCGTTGAGCTTCGACGTTTAAGCTAACTAGTTTCTTTTGTTATTGCATATTATATATATATATATATATATATTCATTTTAACGTGACAGTAAAAAAAAACTCTTTCAAATTTAACTCCCTATTGTTAATTAATTAGCCAGAAAAGGAAGAATAATAATATATCTTTTTTGTTGTTAATACAGAAAATCTGTAGGGTTTTTGTGGCTGATAGTGATGGTTATGTAAGGCTGAACCTTTTGTGGGGTCCATGCAACGTTAGAAAGAATATCTTTGATTTTTTTTTCTTTTTTCCTTTCAAGTATATACCTCAAATGCAAGACCTATCAATAATTGTAGTAGCTTAGCAAAAAAAAGAAAAATATAGTAGGGGACCATGATCGTACTCCATGGATTTTCTCTGATCGATACAGTGGCTCTCATTTGGGGTCACTGGAATTTCATATAGATATTTATTTTTTATGAATTTTAAAAAAGTTTTAATTTTTTCTCCTATTTAGTTGAGAAAATTATAATTGTGCCTCCAACTAAAAAAGAATTATAATTGTGATTTTCTACTCCCATTTTTCTCTTGTATTTTATATGCGCCCCCACTGCAATAATTTCTCAGTTCAGCCACTGGCTGCAGAAAATCCCAGTATTGTTAGAATTTAATGATTGTACTAAACTTTCAACACGTGACATGGGAATAAGAGATTTGAGAGAACAACTTGATTGGAATTGTTTAGTGTTCTATGTGAGTTTTTAACAGAGAATTAAGCTGTAAGGCAACATTGATAAGTCGTTTCATCGTTCTTTACTATGAATCTATGATTAGGGAAAATGATGTTGGGTGAAGTTGCAGTTTGGTGTATTTTTTCTGATAGAATGAAGTTTAGGTACTTGTTTAGAAGAATCTGTTCATTGAAGGCAAAGTTCTTGTGGATATATGTATACTTTTGTTCACATCTAATTGTTTATGAAAATGTATCTCTGTGAATCTTAATGATTGCAGAGTTTAAGTAGAAAGCTTGTTCACATATTATCTGGGTTGCTTTACATGGTTTCCTGGCCAATTTTCAGGTATCCCTTATCTTTTTTGTTTCAAATATTTTGACAGCATTTAGCTTTTATTTCTGCTTGCCAATGGTTTGAAATCTAAGGTTCCTTACGTACTTCATTTGATGGTTTCAATGGTAGAATAGCACTTCGACAAACGCTCGCTACTTTGCCTTGTTGGTTCCTCTCGTGAATTGCACAAGGCTTCTTGTCCACGGCCTTTCACTGGTTTCGGATGAAGGACTCATAAAATCCATGACGCGACATGGAAATCCTGAGTAAATTTCTCCACTATTCATCATGAAGTTGTGTCGTTTATTATTTTCTTCATACCAGAAACATTGCCAGGGTTAAGCTTCGAGTTTTTGTTCACACTTGCAGGGAGTTGCTGAGAGGTCCTTTGTACTATGTTTTTGCATTGATCTTATGTGCGTTTGTCTTCTGGCGAGAATCTCCAGTAGGCATGATCGCTTTGTCGATGATGTGTGGCGGGGGTGGGTACACCACTACCATTTTCCCAATTTCGCTCTTCCTTGTGCCTCTCACTCCACTAACTCCTGTAAACTTGGATTTCAGGTGTTGCCGACATAATGGGAAGAAAATTTGGTTCGAAAAAAATTCCCTATAACCAAAGTAAGAGTTGGGCGGGTAGCATATCCATGTTTCTCTTCGGATTCTTGGTTTCCGTTGGGTGAGTTTCAAACCTCTATAGCGTGGTCATCAATCTTAAGCGTTCATAATTCCTATAAATCTCTGCATATCAATTGGCATTGACATGAAATGTATTTTTTGACAATGAAGGATGCTGTATTATTACTCAGCACTGGGATATTTCCAATTGGATTGGACCTCGACACTACAAAGAGTGGCTCTGGTTTCTTTGGTGGCTACAGTAGTTGAATCTCTTCCAATTTCAGAGGTAGTAGATGATAATATTTCTGTTCCGTTGGCTAGCATTCTAGCCGCATATTTGAGTTTCAATCTTTAGACTGACTGTGTTTTTGAATATCTGCAAATTAACTAATCGGAATTATAAGAAAATTTGGAAAATGACGCCAGTCACGAAAAATCAGTTTCATGACACATGATGAAACTGAAATATAACTGTTTTAGAGATTAAAAAAAGTAGGCAAAAAACAGTAATTTCAGTTTTAAATTTCCACAGAATTTTGACACATTACGCATTCATAATACTATAATCTTCGTAACTCAGTCAAAAGAAGGTGTTGGCCAACTTAGGAAAGATCCATCCGAAATCAATTTCTTTGCTTTCACCAATGCTGAGAGTTTTACCTCCATGTTTGCATACATGTAAAATCCAAGCAAACCAGCAGAATCCAAATGTATTTACTTCCATTTTCTTTTCATCTTATTGAATCCAGTACGTCAGTGGTTACTATAACCTACCTCAATTTCATTATGTTGATTTCAAGTTCTACCATGTCCCTTCTTTGGTTCATTCTTTAGCGTATGTTAATTGAGATCATTGTTTCAGCTAAATTTAAATGGATTAGCAATTTTATTAAATAACTTCCAGTTTATAACTGTAACAATATTATTTAATCTTATAGGGTTAGTGGACATTTGGTTCATTGATTCAGAATCATGATTCAGAACTATTTTCGTTTTACGTGTGTTTTTTGTGAGAGAAAAACACTGTAGAGAACCATGAATCATGATTCAAAATCATGAACGAATACAGGAAACAAATATCCTAGTATGTTTTGAAATTTAGGATTATATTTGTTTCAAATTAGGAATTAGATTTGCATTCAAGTTAGATTTGTTTTAGGTTGTGGCTTCTATAATAATAGAACGCCCTATTAAGTTTATTTAAAGATTTTTAATTAAAAAAATTTATCATTAGAGTGTTACTCTAAACGATTGGAGTGTAAGAGCATCTTAAGGGGAACTCTCTAAATTTTAGTTAACTTTTAGCTAAAATAGCTAGAAAGCTATTTTAGGTAGTAATTTTTTGGTGATTCATCCCAACCATACTCTCTATTTAGCTAAATGATTATTTTAATATTTTATTGTATTTAAAATATAAATAAACTTTATTGAATTTAAAAAAAGAAGTTTTGCGTTTATTACAGTCGAAAAAATAAAATAATACAAAAAATTAAATGGTTAGCCTCTCAATGGTAGTTATATTTAGTTAGTATGAAAGATATTCTTCAAAATGACTAACCATTTAGCTAAATTGCTACAGTAAAGAAAAGTTTAAAAAAAAATTAAATCATTAGTCATTTTAGTTAAAAACATAAAATGGCTAAGCATGGTTGACTAGCATGGTTGGAGTTGCTCTAAGTCTCGGTATTTTTTAGAATCGATGAGTTTTATGTCTACCCCTATTTTCTTTGCACTCGTGATTATATTAACAAGTTAGTAGATGCCCTATCTGTCTGGTATTCTAATTGAACAAACGGGTTTTGGGAAGGTTGCATCCTTTTTCTGTGTGCATGTTTCTTGTATGCTTCCATGGTACATTACTTTGCTTGCTTGCTGGAAGATCAGGCAAGTATTGACGTGGTGAAAAGTGAAGATGGTATTTATGAGGAAGGAAGATCTATCTCTGGCTTAATGGTCTCAGGAGCTGAATGGAGCTGATTAGTGCCTTATTAATTAGAGAGGAATGGTTTTAATGACATTTTTGTCCCTGGCTACCTAAGGGGATTGGTGGGGAAAAGGTCCTATGGAGATTGGCGACAAAAAGGCTGTTTTGGGAAGTATTTTGGGTGGTTTGAACATTTAGTGAAGTTGTTTGTGGTTAAGTAAGGTCATTTATCTCAACCTTACAAAAGACCTGATGGAGAGAACTAAGTGGAGAGTAGAGACTCTCCCTGGAGCAGGGGCGGAGCCAGAAAAATTAGTTAAGGACGGGGCGTGACTGAACTAATGAGGTAGGGTAAATGCAAATTTTGTTTTTTTTATGAAAATGAAAATGAAAACGTTTTCAATTTCAGACAGAAATCATTTTTAAAAATACGTCTGGTAGTTTTATCAAGAGATTGTTTTTAGTGTAAAAAAACTCATTAATGTATCTCTTTCTCTCTTTATACTCCAGAGGAGAAAATGAAAATAAAAAATAAAAAACGACTAAAAGTCGTTTTTCATTTCTCTTTTATTTTATACTAAATCAAAAAATCATTTTTATTTATGTTTTTTGTCTTTATTGCGCCAAACGTCATTTTAAAAATATTTTTATTTTTTCTTTCTTAAAAAACGTGAAAAATAAAAATGGGATTAATTTCAAACACAGCCAAAGAATTTTAAAGGGGTCAATGCAGATACAAATTTTATAAAATTATAAAATCTATTTGCACCCCTTATATTCATAAATACACCCACCAAATTATAATCTACATTTATTGTAATTTTACATTACAATGAAATTACGTTAAAACCCATTAAAATTACATCTATTTATATATAAATCATATCATCTATAAATAGAAATATTGGTTGACTTGTTATATAATAATAGGTAAGAGACACTATTAGTGGCTTCTAAAATCATTTTTTGAAAAAAAAAAAATTATGGGTATTTCAATTGAACTATTTATGTTCCTCTTAAAAAAAAAAAAATCTTAATATTTATGTTGAAAAAATGTTTAAAATTTCGCTTGTTCTCCTATGCTCGTAAGTGTTTTGTTTGTTTTTTTTTTTTTTTTTTTTTTTTTTTTTGCGAATGAGAAAAACTTTATTATTGTTAAGATTTGTTAATTATTTCTTTATAATATAAGATAAAATTAAAATGAAAGTGCCGGTGGGGGGGTGGGGGTGGGTGTGGGTATATGAGAGGGTAAAATCCAAAATCATACAAAAAAATATTTATAAAAAGATCGATTTTTAAATATATATTAAGAAGTAATAATTAATTGGGGCGTATTTATAAGTTTTATGGGTGTAAATATAACCACTCATATACAAAATTAAAAGAAAAAAATTTAGCTGGGCGGGCTGGCCACTCTTGTTCGTGGGTGGCTTCAGTCCTACCCCAAGACTTCGAATTTCTCAATTTTTGGCTCTAAAATAGGAAATATTCTAGTGAAATACTCTGATACCACATGTTGGGCTTATTGAACTAAAGAACGTGCTGGGTTACTACTTGGAGTACCATTGGCTTTTTTTGTAATTTTTTCTTAAGAGGGCATGCGTGTATAGATTTTTACCTTTCATTCTTGATTAATATAGTATAATTATTTGATTAAAAAAGTTATTTATTAAAAGTAATAGATAAAAATCTTGATTCATAGTTTTAAATGATATTTATCCCATTTTTCCATAATTTTACCTCCATTTCTTAAGTGGGTCAAGAACTATGTGAACCAAAAACAAGCAGACTTGTGTACACTCTATGGCTCACCATACCACAACTCACTCAAAATTCTCAAATGTGGATTAGGCTAACATCTTGGGACAATCATCAGATTTGGGCCTCACCTAGTTTTACAACAAATTGATACGGGGCAAATTTTTAAAAACACCCCTTAAAATTGAGCTCTTTTATTTTTACCCTTTTAACATTAACTCATATATTTTTACTTTTTAAATTAAAATTAGTTAAGGGGTAGAATTTTTTAAAAGAGATACTTTTAGTACGTCAAATACTTAAAAAGATAGAATTTATAATTTTCTCATAATATGCTAAGCACCAAGCACACGGTTGAAAAATAACATAAAACTAAATTAAGTAAATAATATATATTTAAAATATTTAAAATAAATAACTGTAAAAAGATTTTTTTACCATGTAAATTTTCAATTTATGACTAATAAAAAAATCTTTTACCACGTAAATAATCTACTGTTACGTACTTTAAATAGTTTTAAAATTTAGCATTTACTATAAATATGAACAAAGACAACAAATATGATGGACCTGCTGGTTGTAGTTTTTAAGAATAGAGAGTGGATTTTATTTTAGGGAGAAAGAGGAAATGCCATTTTAAACTTCTTCCAGGTAAATAACATATTTTCGAAACAATTGAAGTAAAAACATGTTTATTGAATGAGACGGTGATTAAGAGTTAAGGGGTTAACGAGACTACGAAGATGCTTAGCTAGTTTTGAACCAGAGCAGGGAAGTATAATCACTTATAATCGCTAATATAGTATTGATTAATACTCTTTTTAATTAATGTTGAATTATTTAAAAGGATATTAATTAGAGTAAAAAGTAAAAATTCAAATCTATACACTCTAAAGATAAGGTTAACAATTTTCTGTTGGCTTAAACGTATTGGGTCAAGGAATCCATGGGTCATCAAATTAGAGACTATATTCTGGCCTAACTCTACACCTCATTTTGATTAAAAAAAGAGAAAATTACTAAACATATTCTTAAAAATGTATGGATTTAGATTTTTATCTCTAACCTTCTATTTATACCCTTTTGACTAATATGGTATTGATTAAAAAAGTATTAACTAAGAGTAAAGGCTAAAAATAAGAGTCATACAATCTAACAAGATATTTGTCTCGTTTTCTCTTTTAAACAAATAAGAAAAGAAATGATGGTTGGTTAGGAAAAAAAAATTAATACATAAAAAGTATGTTTACTTTGCAAAGGAAAATGGGAAGTAAGAAGTGATTCTCTTTCCCATTTAATAATGTGTTAACTTACAAAATTAGTATAAAGATTTAGTCGGTCTCACACAATACGAGAAAGGAGAAAAGAAGAATAATATGGAGATTATACACAACAAATAATCTTAAAATGTTCAAGTTTCAGGTCATATCACCTATGACCTATTGCTCATAATCATTATAATCTTCAACTAAATATCCTTTTAATGTCGATGGAGGGAAATTGTTAGATAATTGACGCCAAAAGTGACCTATTGGCAAGAAGAACAATACTAAAATGTGTTTGCATTTAAAAAAAAAAAAGAAAAAAACAATAAGGTATCGTTTATTTTACCGATTTGAGTTTAGAATTTGAGTTTTATTACAGTAAAAAACTCTCAGAAACAGTCATATCTAATTTTTTTACTACAGTAAAAATCTCTCACATAAAATCACATCTAAACTCGAATTAAAAACTCGAATCAACGAAATAAATGAGTTCTTGCTTTGGACTAATTGTCTTGCTCTCTTTATTTATCAGTTTACTATAAAGGGGTTATGAACTGACTCGTGCTGTAAAGTTCCAAGATCCTCCTTATTTTGGCACAAGGTACAAACTCTAAGGGCTCCTCCTCGTATTTTGAATATCCAAAAGTCATATAAAGACTACAAAGGTAAAATTAAAATCGGAACACTTTAGTTGGGGTTTCGTTGGTCTAAAATTTAATTAGATTAATTTCAAAATGGAAGACAAACTTTTTCGACTAACAAAGGACTACCAGTCATAATTGAGATTTTCTTCTGAAATTCGAGAGTACTACTCTACAAAAGAATTTCTCCTTTTGTGGACTTTTAGACCCAGGGAAGGCCGGAGGAAAAATCAGGAATATTTATAAATACAAATCTTGTTTTATGTAATTTTTTAACCAATTACTCAATGCCATCATCATCATCACGGCCAAATCCACTTGTGGATAATGAAGATGATAAAGATGCATGAGTAGTATTTGTTGATTGGGGAATTTTTAATGTAGGAATTATTATTTTACCTTATTATTGATAGGAACTATATTTTAGCTGTTAAACTAGTTTTTTAGCGGTCTGATTTTTAAATAAGAGTATGGCGCGCACTATAAATTGTTAATGTGAATACTCACATATCAAATTGATAAAAATTTAATCTACCAACTAAAACATCAGTTCCTATTGCAATTCAATAGTACCCTTGTACAATATTTTACAAAGCTAGTAAAATGACATCAATCTAATGTCTCTAGAAGTTATTGTAGAATGACATAATTCAATATCAAACAACCCCACAAGGAACGCTTTCCTTTTATGATGCAAATATTACCAACAAAACTAACTAGAGCTGCAAGTTTGAGCCGGGTTAAATGGGCCGGTTTGAGGCCCGTTATTATTAGTCTGGTCCATTTTGACCCAAACATCATATTTTTAAATATTTTTTTGAAAATACCTTATAAAATTACGAGTCGGGCTGAGTCAGCCTTAAACTTTTTAAGCTTCAGACAGGACTGAACTGACCCTCTCTCTTTTAGGACTGGACGACCCAAACTTACACCTCTAAAACCAACCACCTTTTCCATACATGTCATGAACAAATCTCCAATATTTTGTTGTTAATTTAAAATACTACAAACTTTATTATTTTTGGTTTAATCTATTAAGGGGATGATTTGGAACCATGCATTTTAAACCAACTGTGGATGTCAGAATGTTCGAGATCTCAAATGGATCAAGTAGAGTTGTGGATTGTATGCGTAATCCTCCAACAAATTGGAAAGATGAATATATACACGTCTTAGTAAGAACAAAATCAAATAGGACATATATTGCCTGCGTAATCCTTCAATATGTCGTAAAGATGAAATACCATATAAAGGTTGGACATGAAATAGAGATTACAAGCAAGCATACAAATTACCAGCCCTCCAATATTGTATGAGGAGAGATTGATGACATGTAAAATGATATAAAAATATATAAAATATAACATATTTGTGGATAAATACATATGG